AAGTTTTCTTTAAGATATTACCAGTAATCTTTTTATTTTCTCAATTGAATATAAAACTAAACATTTGTAATTTTAAGATTCTACCCCCCCACCCCCACCCAAACTATTTATGCCATTTTGGATATCATTTGGAGCGAGTACGACTCAACATACTTGTCGTGGAACGAGATCCTAGTGGTCATTAGAGATCTTTGCATTCAAGAGTTTGCAGTATGTATCATTCATAAATATCTTAATTTGTTTCTATTTATTTATCAAACTAACATTATCATTAAAATTTTGCAAAAATAATTCTTCCGGTGCCCTGAGCATGAGGCACACATCTGCATAACTTTGAGTGCAAGGGTAGTGATAGCCTTCGGGACATGTTTGTTGATATTTGGAAATTACAATAGCGTCCTTTATGGCTTGGAGAGGATATCTTTGCCATGCAGCTTAGGGCCTAAGATTCTTTGGACTATCAGAAAAAGAGAGAGCTAGCAAAGCAGAATAGGTGATCAGACGGTGGAAAAAAGAGGCCCTCTAAGCACACAAGTGGGGCACTCCCATATACTTAATACAAGCAGAGGTTGGTAGGATTTTATTCCTTCTATAAAGTCTTCTAATATTTGAAGAACTATTCTAACTATTTTTTTATATGGACATACTGTGGAAATTAGACGAGGGCCTTCCACTACCGATCTGCATGAGCTAACCCACAGAAGGCAATCCGACTAGTCTTGGATCAATGATAGATCACGTGCAACCTACATGATCTACAAGATAAACTAGATTGATGTTAATACATGCTAGCTCTAACCAAATTTTATAACTTTTTCGACAAGAGAAACTCTAGCAGCTGAAGGAAAGCCAATCCCAGGGAGGGAGGTTGTTGGAGAGAATAAGAAGGTTTGATTTTACGGGCTCGAGTCGTAGATGTTTGCCTATGATGCTCACATCTCCACAAGTGCATCTGCAGCTTCTACCTCTGCCACAGATGATAAGGAGATATCCAGGCGTATTGTTGCATTCTCTGTCAAGATAGAGACCTGCTTCACTCAGATGAGGTCAGAGCTGGAGACCAAGGTGAATGCTGAACTAAATTCCTTCCGGACACTATTGAGGGAGCATGACAAGCCAACGACAACATTGGAGAAGGAGGAAGCAGAGGAGGAAGATGAGGATGATGATGAGGAGATAGAGGAGGATGATTAGAGGGGTATTTTCTTTTTGTTATGTTTATATTGTACATCTAAATAAATATTTTTTCTGTGAATAATGATATATATACTTTAGAATAAATGCATTTTATTTATTTCATCATTTGATTGGATAATTTATTGTTCAATTGCTATTCTATTTCATTAAATGTTGGGAATAATATATTAAATGTTATGATAACAAGTGTGGTAATGTAAATACAAAAGGGGAAATTTTTTTTTTTTTTTTTTTTTTTGCTAATGCTACAGGTTTCTTATGGCTTACCGTCAGTTTTGCGATAACTTTTATCATAAATTTACATCATATCACAGTATCACTTAAAGAAGTAAGGATAATAGATTATTGCAATAATGAAGAAATGGGCAAGTATAAATTGTTTCCTCTTTAATTTTTTATCGAAGGTAGAGGAGTAAGCAAAAGGCTTTTACAAATGTCTATCATGATATATCATGTATTCTAAGTTAGATCAATTGGGGATTAAACATAATGAGAAATAATATATCGCCGTATTACTGGGATATAATTGTGTGCTAAAATATGATGCATTATTACATACCTACTTTTATATACCAAAATATAATCTTCAATTTTAATGGCATTGGTTAGAGACATTTGTCCTAGTACACTAAGTGCAGCCTTAGTAATAAATATTTTATTTTGGATTCATTTGATACCTCTATCATTATCTCATTTGCCAAATATTTTAGGAATATTATATACTTTTCATCTATTTCCTTTTTTTCTTAATCTTTACAACATTAAACATTGAATGAGCACCTCTATAAGGACTTAAATAAGATGATCAAGCAAGTTGGTTCTTCGAAACAAAATAGTTTTGTACAATCATACTTCTTCATATCTAATTTTGAAGACATCAATTTTAAAACTATAATTTAAAATTTGTTTGTTATAATGAACTAGCGAAAGATGACACAAAAGTAATAGTAAGATCATGTGAGTAATGCATCACAAGGTACAAAAGAAATAAATTTAGTCACACAGAACAAAAACTTATATATTTTAATTTTATCAAACATAAATCCAGAATTGAGAAAAAAATATCTAATGCATTAGAAATGGAAGCCATAATTGTTACATGAACCAAAGATACCCACAACTTTCTCTCGATTATAAAAAATACCATTGCTCATAAAATTGAAAAATAAACTCCAATAATCTATGACATGAGATTATTTGTAAAATAAACACTCTTCTTCTTAGAAACAATACTAATGCCAATCTTTAATGAATGTAGTATCCAATGAGCCTAATGAGAAAGCAATATAGATCTTCCTTTTTCTTAGAGAAAATCTATTTATATGCATGCAAGAAACAACAAACAAAATAACATATAGAGATAGAGACCCTAGCATGAAATCCAAGGAATATTCAACCATGTGGTCAAATTATCAAGGTAAGGATTTACCAATCCCATGACTGAGACAATCAATTTACTTGTCATATGATTTGATTACATAATTCTTTAGTTGTGATTCACTTGTGTGTTAATTTACATATCTTTATATATATAACAAATCAAATGATCTTAATATTAAGTAAAACATTAGCTAGCCACATTAGACTTGTTGTAATGTGATAAACTCACAATAAAAGATAGAATAAATACTTGAAAAAACTTGTCAATCAAGTCTTGTCCTAAAGCATTTAGTCCAAGGAGAAGCATATAAAGTCGCCATGATTAGCAGAAAATATTACTTTAGGACTCCGCATGGACAGTTGCCTGTGGAGTCTAATTAACGAAAGCCACGTGGAATCTCAGTCTCATAGGAGAAAATAGGGAAAATAAATAAAATTTCGCGCGCGACTCAACCTGAAATACAACTCGATCAATTTCCCGACAACTTTCATAAAATTATTTTTTGTACAAGTTTTTGTATTTGTTTTCGAAGGACTTCTTCATTATACATATGTTCTAAATTTTATTATTTTTATATAGGTTATTAATAAATATAAGTTATGACATCTAAATAAATTATTTTTTCTCTATAACACACTAATAACAAACTAATAACACACTAGCAATACACCAATAACACAAATAACACATAATAACACATAATAACACACTAATAACACATAATAACACATAATAACACAATAATAACATATAATAACATACATAATAACACAATTAGACACTCCCTAGCCCGCGATATAACACGCGGGGAATATTCCCTGCGTGTTATACCGCAGGTTATAACCCCGTCCCACGTGTTATATAATCGCCTATAACACACCCCTAGTCTGTGGTATAACACGTGGGGAATATGCTCTGTGTGTTATACCTTGGGTTATAACGCCACCCCTCGTGTTATAAAGCCGCCCGGGCTATGGGAGTGCTATAGGGCGGTTGTATAACGTGTGGGGCGGCAATATAACCCGCGGTATAACACACAAAGAATATTCCCCATGTGTTATACCACGAGCTAGGGGAGTGTTATAGGGCGGTTGTATAACACGTGGGGCAGGTTATAGCCCGCGACAGAACACACATGGAATATTCCCCACTTATTATACCGCGGGCTAGGGAGTGTATAATTGTGTTGTTATGTGTGTTATTATGTGTTATTAGTGTGTTATTATATATTATTATGCGTTATTAGTGTGTTATTGTTGTATTATTAGTTTGTTATTAATGTGTTATAAAACAAAAATAATTTATTTATATGTCATAACTTATATTTATTAATAACTTCCATAAGGATAATAAAATTTAGGACAGATATATAATGCTGAAGTCCATCGAAACCAAACGCAAACCCGAAGAAATATTTCTTCCAAAAACCTTAGTTACATGCGTCCAGAGTTGTGAAATATTTCTCCAGCTTGCAATAAAACAGTAGTAACTCCATTGGGTGCGAAATAATTTTATGAAAGTGACAAGAAATTGATCAGGCTGTGTTCAGACCAGGTCGCGCGGAAAGTTTTATTTAATTTCTCTATTTTCATCTGTGGGACCGAGATTTCACGTGACTTCCGTTAATTGGACTCCGTAGCCAATTGTCCGTGCGAAGTCCTGATGTAATATTTTCTCCATGATTAGGCCTCCTAAAAGTGGTTGAAATATTACGGTTCATAGGATATATGTGTGGAACGTCTCTGATGAACCTAAATCCGCAGGATGTAAAATGTTAGGATAACAAAAAAAAAATTTAACGAAACAATTGCCCCATATTAAAGCATATCATTTTGGGAAGAAGACTAATAGATTCACAAAGATCTCATTAAGGCTGTCAAAATTCATGCCAACTTGAGCTAAGTCCTCCAAGATTCATGCCACCAACACATACTATATTGAGTGCATCGACCACAAACATAGCTAGCTCAACTAACTCGAGCCAAAAACAAATTTTGTGCAAATAGATGACCCTGCCGGCTTTGCATTAGTAAAACCCCATAGTCCAGAACAGTCCAAATTGACGGCCAAATACACGCTAGCTTGGCCCTACCTTATGTTCTATTCTTCGGCTTTCCCATCCTAATACATCTTATTCCAAGAATTAAAAATCATATACTTTAACTTTGATCAAGTGACGTGTTTTACTAGGTCAAATTCCTTGCAAAGCTCCTGACTTTGCCCTCATGCCATTGTTCAAACCCTGTCTTCTTGTGTGTGGCTTCCAAATACAAGCAGCTTTAGCAGTCTTTAACCAGCTTTAAAATAAGGAAAAATGGCCATCCTTTGCCTATGTTATCACCACACACTGCCTGTCCAGCATCTACCCGACAGCAACATTCTCTATAAAAGGATGTTATGCTAACGCTGTTGCCTCAAACCCATTATTACACTCTGTCCTTTACTTTCTTCCTCTTCTCCCTCTTTACTGGACATACAGCTTTTTTCAAGAGATGGAAGGAGAAGAACTTCTGAGCTCTCAGTTTCCTCCTGGGTTTCGTTTCCATCCCACAGATCAAGAATTGATCACGCAATACCTTTGGAAAAAGGTCTCTGGATCCTTACCTTCAGATTGGGCAATTATTGCTGACATCGATCTGTACAAGTATAATCCATGGGACCTGCCTGGTAATTTAAACTTCCATCGCATATAATTCTCTCAATACTTTTATGATCATGCATTAATGAATTATATATTGCAATTAGTATAGCAAAAGTTGGGAGAGTAGAGATTTTTGAGACATAAGTAGGCATTTATTCGAAATATAATATTGCTTTGCTATATGATATTTTTGCCAGATTAAAGAGCACTTCTAGTTTTATTACTCGAAGGATGCTATAATGAGCTTTAAAGTTATTTGACTTGTAAAAATCAGATTTTTATCTCAGAGAGCTTTAAGATTTCAAGTAATTCGTTTCCATGTGTTGGCTAATTAATAAAAGAAGCTGCTCCAATTTCCTGCATTTAAGCTCTATGCTCTTGTATCAAACGAAAATTTTCACACAATTTTATAATTAAACAATTTGAGCAAAAAAGATAAAAATTTATCCTGTCAAAGATTGGTATAAATCCACAGCTACAGCCAATCTGAAAGGTCAGCTTTAATGCTGTGTTGCTCTTTATATGATTTGAAGTAATGCCATTTTAATTTAATCAAATAGAGTTACTGGACAAATTTTAAATCAAACAATTAGTTAAATTATTTTGAATAAGTTTAATTTTTGTTTAATTAATTAAATATTACTATTTATATTATCAAATGTGTACTATCATACTATTGCTTAGAAATAAACTTGCTTAATGACAAAAGAACTATTGATAAGAGGTATTATTAATGATTTTCAGAATGATATACTATTAAACTTTCAGTAGCCAGCTTATCTCTTGCCCTGTGCATGTAGCAATAATTTGTCTCATGCAGTTTAAACTTATGCAACTCTTTGCTCTGCCTAAAATCAGAAATTGTTTGAAAAAGATCTCTTGACATAAATAAAAATGAAATTTCGTAGAATTAAAGTCCAAATTACTGAATATTCTTATTACAAAATCCCATAAATTAATAAAATCCAATGAACTAATAGCTTCCATCTATTCCACATTCGTAAAGGTCAATTAAGGGCTCGTTTGTTGCAGCTTATTTGCAGTTTATGCGTTTTCAAAACACAGTGTGTGGATTGTTTAGTGTGTTTTAGGTGTGTTTCAGAACAAGCGCGTGTTAGGGTTGTATTCGACGTGGACCGGGGGTGGTATCCCGCGGCCCGCGTATCTATCTACCTTTTTCGTGAAGCTTCCGAGTTAAAAAACCATGCAATAAATTCATTTTATCATCATAATCACTGCCTTAAAAAAATATTATTTTCTGTTTTATATCTCATTCAGAGAAGGCACTATTTGGTCAAGGAGAATGGTTCTTCTTCAGCCCACGTGAACGCAAGTATCCTAATGGTGCCAGGCCGAATCGAGCGGCTGCTTCCGGGTATTGGAAGGCGACGGGCACGGATAAGCCAATCTTAGCTGCGGGTAATGTCCAATGTATTGGCGTGAAGAAAGCTCTTGTCTTTTACCAGGGCCGGCCTCCAAAGGGCACCAAGACTGACTGGGTCATGCAAGAGTATCGTCTTCTCGACTCCATGGCCCCAACTCAAACTCAGAAGCAGAAGAGCTCTATGCGAGTAAGACTCTTGTTAAGAAAAATATATATTTTGTGTGAGAAAAATTTGCTTACGGTAAGACGTAGCGTACGTTAGGGAGGTTATTCAGAGGGTATTGGGGATTATATCTGCATTATACCCCCTTTAGCCTCCATGTAACCTACCTGTAACTTACAAATATATGAAAACAGAAGCGCGAAAATTATTAAAAGGTATAGGTAGGTTGAAGGGAGGTTACATGGGGTATAACGCGGATATAACCCCCAATATCTTCTAAATAACCTCCTTGACATGTCTTGCGTACGCAAATTTTTCTAAGTTTTTATATGGGAGCTCTTTCGTTATAAAATTTTAGGTGCATTTGCACTTATATGTCACAATTCTTATGTATTTACATATCTAACAGCCTATCATTCATATTTACATGCATACCACTCAAATGTTTAATATCACTAAAGATACAATCACCAAGCACGTAACTTTCTCATAATTTTATTGTTTGAATGCAAGCGGTCATATTGTCCATTTGATCCACTTTAGATGACCGAGACTGAATTTGTTAAAAAATTGAATTGTTTTGTTTAACATCTTGGATTCAATCTTAATACATAATAACTGATATGGGCAGAGTATATAAAAATATAATACATTTTTGGTGTCTAAAATATTAATTTAAACTACTCCGTTAGTTTTGTAATTGTCATTTCCTTTATGTTCGCAGTTGGACGATTGGGTTCTGTGTCGAGTTCGAATGAAGGGGAACACAGTAGGAGAAAATGACGAAATGTTCATGGAAAATTCAAATGTTCAGCCAGCTCAAGAGAATCATGCGCCGGTGAAAGACAAAAACAACTCCAGTGAATGGGGGGAACATTTGAAGTATCTATTGGAATCCCCCAGCGAAGGAAAGGAAACTAGTGGAGAAGGTTCCAGTCATGGCTTCATGTGGTCTTCTGATCATCTTAGCTGTGTCAATTATGGTGACGCACAGCAACAAGAACAAGCACATCGTTCAAATGATGGGTGGTACTCACAAACGGATCAGTTAGGCTCTTCTGACCAAGGATGCTATACTAAGTACTTTACACATTAATGATGGCTTTGTTTATATCTTATGTCTGGTGTTTTTCTTATGAATCTTTTCCTTTATTAAATTGCTTCTCTTTATATTTGTAGCTAAATAAAGGGAGTGGGAAGCAAGAAAGTGGGAGAAACTAATGTATGCTCCAAGCATTTATCTAATTTTTTTTTCTTTTTTTTTTTCTATTCCTATGTTTTGATTTATTTTAGTATGTAGAATTATACAGTTCTTATACACCTATATTGTCTTGCGTTGAACTGATCAGTGTTGTTTTGAGATGCCGATGGGGATTATATAAGTAGCTCATTATGAGTCTGGTTTAATTACTTCTAACATAGAACTCAAAAAGGTCAAAGACTTGAGTCGCTTATAACTGAATCTTATGTCACATATCTAATTTGAACTTTGATATTTTACATACATGCTACCTTAATGCATGAAAATGCGTATTTCACTTTTTGAAATTTAAAATGGTGATATTTTTCATGTGATATGAAATTTTTGGGGTGCTATAAAAGTAAAATGTAAAGTTTAAGTGTCATATATGTAAATGCATAGGATCAATGCCTCTTCAATTTCTGATCTAGATATAAATATGCAAGTTCTGGTGTTACATATATAAATATATAAGAATATATGGTAGGTATGTAAATGCTCTTTTATTTTTTGAATATACGAAATAATATTCTACCTAAAAATAATGCGTAAATCTATTACTTGATTGTATCTTCAAGGGAGATTGAAGCTTTGGAAGTTGAATCATTTCATGGCACAGTTCTCATATGACTTGTAATGCAGAGTTGAAGTACCTACTAATAGTTTTTCTAGAACGTTGAAAATTGAATTTGATGACTCAATTACGAACACTGTGTCCTAAGGTATGCAATAACATAGTGACAACATTAGATGTGTCCAAAAGTAGCCTTCTTTTTCACATCTCATCACATAATTTAATGAAAGGCTCTTTTCTCATTCGAACCATATTAATGCATTCAGAATCATTGTCAATGTATAATCTAGATAGAAAAGTTTGACATTGTATATTCCACTCAGGATTATACCTTTTGCTTTCTATCCCAAGCTTGTACAAAAAAGCTATCACCGTTGTTGCAATGATAGTAGTTGCCCCAACAATTCGAACCATTCTCAGATCTTCTTCAAAGTCAAACATATTGTATTGTTTCGTTATATCTTCAAATTTATCTTCCATCTTTATACTAGAATCAACAAACGTTGAACATTATTATAATTGTAATGATAACATATATATAAACAATATGTGTGTGTGTGTGTACGTTAAAATCATAAAGGCAAAAAAAATTAAAAAGTAGATCTAAACAAGATAGTATTGCGTACTATTAATTCAATTGAAATAATAAAAAGCATGCATGCAGTACAAGCATATGCGGGATAAGTAGCAGTCCATTATTTGGCTTAATGTGAAAAATAGTCAAAATTTAGGTGTGAGATATGTAGCATTAATAATACTGAGTAGCAATTAGTCAAACATATTGGATTGTTTTTGTTACTAATTTGTATGAGGTGTCTACTGATGTAAGAGTGACTCATCCTAATATTATTTCAGAATGAAGGGTAAATAGAAACCGAACACCAAAGTTCTGACTGACTTGTCCTTCGTTAATCAGCCACCCTTGTCGGCCCAATCAACCACTTATGTCTGCTCACTTGATTGACTGCCATCGACTCAATTAGTTCAACCAACTGTTTCTGCTCAATGTTGCATCATCACATGTTTAGTTTGCATTGCCTGTATTAGCATATTCACATCGCACACCCTGTCGTGCATCCATGAACGTATGTCCCCATACGCTTGTGGTAGGCGGTTATATTCCACTTTAGCATGACCCTTTGTGTCTATTTTGTGGTATCCCCATGTCACAGAGCACTAAAACCTTGTTGTTTGCACTTGCATAGTTGCATGATTGTTTGCATATTACTTTGATATGTTTGCACTGCATAGCTTTATGGTTTGCACTCGGGTCACTGTCTCCACAGCACACCTACCCCTCTGGGTCATTTTCTCCATGACACACATCCTCAAGGCCACTGCCTCTGCAACACACTCATTTGCACTTGTATTCTATGTTTTGCATGCATCATTCCACTTTGGCGGTGCATTTGTTATTAGTATATGCTTCAATATACTAGTGGTGCATGTTTGCCTCTTCCTCGATCATTCCAACTTCTCTAGAATGATCACATTAGCATAGATCTATCACATTTGCATGTGTCTTCTCCTATCATCTTAATGACGAAGCTAGCTCACTAATTGAGTGACCCTCCATTGGTCACACCGCGACAACTAGTATTGCCAGTGAGAATATCTCGGTGGGCAATACTACTTATTGCACTTGGTACCAGCATGTGTATGTTGTACTAAGGTTCTAAGGGATCTAATATGTGTCACCTAGGCTTTTCTTTCTACTAGGGCCCTACTTAAAGGTAGAAAAATTTTATATATTTTTATTATTTTATTCATCATATTTTTTCAAAACCAATTTTGAGATTATTTGCATCCCTATCATAGACTATTTCTATGATCATCCTTTAAAAAAAAATTCCAAAGTTTTACAAAAATAAAATTTAGCGGCACATATTAGAGTCCTTAGATCCTTAGGAAAGAGCCAGTGACGACGACCCCGTCAAAACATACACCAGCCTTCTAACATAAACCAAGCACTCATTTAGATGCTGTGTTTGGACACTTACATTAGATGTTTTGCTAGACTAAGGATTAGGATGCTATGTAGTCTCTGTCGGTGACCTGACAATTGTTTTATGTTGATGTGATTGCCCTAATTAGGCACCATTTTTGTTCTTTTGGTGTACTTGCGCGTGCCTTTTTTATATTCATGGTAATATATTTTGGCGGTCTTTAAAAAGGGGCCATGTCATATATATGCACACACACACATGTATAATAAAATGAGGGAGCAATGTAATGATTATTATTAACCCTTTTCTGGAGGCACTGTTTAGCTTCCCCACCTAGTATGGCCCAGACATGTTACATGTTTGCTTGACTTTACCACTGACATTGTCTTCGTGTATGTCAAGTCTTTCTTTATTTTTCCTGATGTTCTTTTTAGAGTCCTAGTAAGAGTATGTATTACAAATAAGGTACAAGCATGAATTTCGATGTGTCAGGCAGACTTAACAACGTGACGGGGACCAAGAGTTGTTTGCTTGTATCCCGTAACTTAATTCTAAATCTCATTCACGAATATAGTTAGGAACGGATGTGTATATGCGGAGTCCGACTGCATTTTTCTTTTATGGGAGTTTTTGTGGACTCAATGACACTGGTCTTGTGTTATATTTGGCTTATTTCTTCCTACTTTCTTGCATGTCTGCATGCTTGTATTATTTTTCATTATTTTATTCTTGTTTGTGTGGGATGTTAAAAAAATTACAATTTAGGCTCTTCTAAGGACCTCAAAATTATAAATTTTTTAACTAAAAAATTCTATTAAAAATTTCAAGACTAATTAATATTTAGGATTAAAAGAATCAAGATTTTAAAAACTGACTTTTGTTTTCAAATGGGTTGCATATCATAAACATTTCCCAAGTCATTTACATAAAACCTCCATGCTTAAGACTTGAATAAACATATGCATCATTTGCATGTTCCGATGAGAAACACTGGTATTTTCTCATCCCAATTGGCCCAGCATAGGTTTCTACTTAGTTGGTTGTTTAGCAACGTTTGGATCGTTAGAAGGCTCCCCAACCCAGATGGGGCATAAGTCCTTTTGTCAAAAAATATATCCAAATTTGTAGATGAACCTCTCATTCTCTTCCTTTTTAACTGCATCCATGCCACATTGGTGGGTATAAATCCCACCTTTTGGAGCTCCATTTGTTAGTCATAGAAATTAGTTTTGTTCCTCTGATGTTAGGGTATCGACACAATTTTAGGCGGGTTGTCCTGCTTGGTCGACACTATTTTGGTTGAAGACTTGCCCGTTGGAAGATGTCAGCCAATGGAATCAAAATTCTATCGCCCGCTTTGGAAAGATATATATATATATATATATATATATAGTTTTAGAATAATATGAAATTAAATTGATCTCATATCTTTCAAAGTTTAGATGAAAGAGCACTACACCTCAAGCTATGTATCTATCCCTAAAGATAAACACAAGACTTGGGGGTGAGACTCGATCAAATAAACTAAGAAATATATGACATATGTTTGGTCTGCAAAGCCATTTTATTATAAGCCGATAAGTTTCCCTATTTAATACGAAAAATTAAATAGAGTTTATATTAAGTTGGGTTCGAAAAAGTTTTCTATAAGGGCAAACCCCTATAGTTTATTACATATTAGATAACCAAAGTCACCTAAGAAAAATCTCGATAAAAATCAAGGGATATTGTCTTCAAGAATTTCAAAAGGATCAGACTTTTAAAAGATATTGGACAAAGAGGTGTGAAAGGGAAATGACTCAAATTTGAAACATTTTATTTTTGAATTTAAAGGAAGAAGAACTAGGGGACGTCATAGATCCTGAAGAGAACCATGTTGACTTCTCAAGCTATCCTACTATTTGACTTTAATTTAGGGGAGAAATATTTAAGCATTTCATCCTGTCAATTTTATTAATTAGGGCTTACATTCGTGTAAAACGATCACACAAATAGCTTGGAAGATGTGAGGATTTAAGTTGCGACGAACGACAACTTCAGAATCCTAAAACGAGTTAGGACTTATATTGTATAGCAGAGTTATACAAAGGCCTAAAGAAAAGTTGAGGATTTATATCGCACAAGCAAACAACCTCGAAGTCCTATGGATTGTTGTTTACATCTAATGACTGATTTAGCTGGTGTAGACAGGTTTTGTTGTTGAAGATGCTCATGCTACCCACAATGCTAGCTCCAAGCTCCTCGTCGTAGCAAGTTTAAGTTTTCTAATATGTCAAGTCCTGATTTTAAATCAAGTGTTTCTCAAGGTTATGGTTATTTAGATATTATGGGAGATT